CAGTGCCAACGGCCACAGCTGCCTGCTCTGCTGCCACCCAGATGTGCTCCAGCTGGGGATGCTGCAGCCCGTGGGCACCCCCACCTGCAAGGGTCTTGCATGCCTCATGGCTGCCAGCTGTGCCCCAGCTGTGCCCCAAAGCTGCCAGCTGTGCCCAAGCTGCCCCAGCTGTGCTCCATCTCCAGCTGTTCCCCAGCTCCAGCTGTGCCCAATCTGCTTCAGCTATGTCCCAGATCCAGCTGTGACCAATCTGCCCCAGCTGTGCCCCAAATCCAGCTGTGACAAATCTGTCCCAGCTGTGACCCAGCTCCAGCTGTACCCCAGCTCCAGCTGTGCCCAATCTGCTCCAGCTGTGTCCCAGATCCAGCTTTTACCAGTCTGACCCAGATGTGCCCCAGCTCCAGCTGTAACCAATCTGCCCTATCTGTGTCCTCGATCCAGCTGTGCCCCAGCTGTGCCTCAGCCACCCCAGCTGTGCCCCTGCTCCAGCTGTGCCCCAAAGCTGCCAGCTGTGCCCCAGCCTCTCCAGCTGTGCCCCCACTCCAGCTGTTTCCCCCCCCCCGCGGCTTTCACTCCCCTATTCCATGCCGCACTCCCCCTTTGCCCGCTCCCAGCTGCGCCGCAGCCCCCAGCGGTGCCCGCAATCCCCCCCCGCCTCCAGCTGTGCCCAGCTGTGGCCCCGCCCCCCGCCTCCAGCTGTGCCCAGATGCGCCCCGCGCGCCGCAGCCCCGCAGCGCCCCCTGGCGGCCCGTCCCTCCCCAGCAATGTCTCTGCTTGGTCGCCTCCCCCATCCCGTTATTAAAATCTCTCTTATATTTATAAAACAACCGGTTTCCCCCCGACCCCCCGCACAGGGCTTGTCTCAAAGGGCACAAGCGGCCCCAACAGGTGCTTTTGGTTACACACCGCTATCATAAACACTCTGATTTGCAGCTAGTGCAAAAGAAAAGGTTTTACCCTGGTAGTCGTCATACAGTAAGAGTCCCTTCCTCCCACCTCCACCCCCCCCCAGAAAAAAAAAAAAAAAAAAAGAGAACAGAGCATTCAGCAGGTGTCAGAGAGCAATTCCTTATTTCACATAAAACTGGTTAATGGGAAGCAGAAAAAAGAAAACCATTTTACGTGTTGTCCAAAGATTGTGAAATAGGCTGAAAAAAGGAATGGTTTCCAAGGTTTCAACCTGAAGTTTTCACTTACCTAGCATGCACCTGGAGTAACCCACTTCTCTGTCAACCAAATCATACCTACCTCTGCTTAAAGTTTCACATCACGGGTCCCATCCTGCACCCAGCCCATGCTGTCGTGTGCCTCCTGCCCGCAGTGCTGTGCCGCTGCGCGCCGGCTGCTGAAACCAGCTTCTTCCATCGCTGAACTGGGGATACTTGCTAGGGAGAGGGAAACTCAGGTTTCTCCAAGACTCCGGCTTGTCTGGGCAAAAGTGTCTGTGCACACACGCTCCTCCCAGCTGCAAGAAGCCCCTTGTCCCCTGCCCTGGGCCGGCCATGCAGCCCGACAAGTCCCCAGCGGGATCAGCCCCGTCACCTGGGCACCTCTGGCCTTCAGCACAGGAACCTTTAACGAGTTTTATTCATGCAAAGACCCGATTTAGGCAACCAAATACACCGTGACAGCATCCACTCCTCCCGCCGCCCACCATGAAAGGGCACAGATGTGTCCACATGCGGCGCGTGCCTGTGGGGACAGGCGAGATGCGGTGTCACAGCCCAGGCCCTTGTTTTCTGCCCCACTCCTGCCCACGCAGGGTGTAACTCCTGCCACCCCCAACCCCCACTCCCTCCACCCCGAGCTGGCAGGACCAGGCTGCCCTTCCCCAGCGCCCACTGGCACCCTTCAACTTTCATCTGGGGGGGAGGCTGAAAGACATAAATGGGATAAAAATAGCCCTGCCAGTGCTGAGCGTGAGGGGCCGGAGGCACCAGGATGTCCCCAGGGCCCCATCCCCCAGAGGAGCTGCCAGGACAGGGACGGGCAGGACGTGCGCACACTGCAGCACGGCATCTGGTCTCCTGCACATCAAGGAGAGGAGGGGACCCCCAGCAGCCCCCCGCCTCCCCCCAGATCCACACACCCCATCCCCTCCAAGCACTGGTGAGATGCTCGCAACCGGCACAAGGAGGATGATGAGCAGTTTGCTGCCTCGAGATGATTTATGTCAAGGCTGCTGCAAGCCGCCACCATTTTTTTTTTAATTTACTTATCTCCTGTCAGCTTCCTGACAGGTTCTTTTGGGGCGGGGGGGGGGTGGGAAGTGAGAAGAAAGAGGGCAAACAGTTCTGGGGAGATTTAGACAGCAAGAGTCCTGGGGACACAGGGCAGAGGGTGCACACGGGACGGGGCAGAGGAACAGCTGGGCACAGCATCCACATCCACGCTGCAGCCTGTTTGCCATCATCCCCCGACTGCACAGAAGCAGAAATGGCTTTGAAGTGAGAGAGGGAAAGGGTCGGGAAGCACCCACTGACCAGGATCCGGCAACAGGGTTTGACCCCATCCTCCTGGCAGGCTGGCAGAGGCCCCGGGAGGCCTCCGGGTGATGGGGGAGGCAAACTGGATTAAAGCCTTGTCTTTCACCTGGGCTGGAGTCCAGCCCCAAAATAGCAGTCCAAAAACAAGATCACATGAGAGGAAAAAAATAGCAAGGCGAAGGATTATCCATCCTTCCTCAGCCCATGTGGGTGCAGAGCAGCGGCCCGTGCTGCCGGCCCCGGTGCCGCTCAGGTCCCCACCGGCTGATGCCAGCGCCTGCCCTGGCTCCGGCACAGCCCCGATGCCCACTGCGCCCGTCTGAGGGACACTTCCTTGCTCCGGACCTGCCCGTGAGTGCTGCGAGGGGGTGCGGGTGTGCGGCATTCTGGGCCCCCCTGGGGAGCGGGGTGAGGGGCAGAGTAACCCCCGGCAGCTCCTGCTGCCCTGGGGCAGGTCGGCAGCATTGCCTCCCCGCTGAGCCCACGGTGCTGTTCCCCACCACCACCCAGCCCTGTGCACCCCAGCCTGGCAAAGGAGCACTCCCCTTCCAGCATCCCCCACCCCAGTGCCCCCCACCCCAGGCACAGCATCCTGGCAGAGCCACGGGGGCTTTGCAACCCCTTCCCAGATGGGCTGCACCGTGCGCTCCTGAAGTCCTGGCCAGTTTGCAGGCTCGGCCGGGTGTGTGTTGCTGGGGTCAAAACTGGGGTTTCCTTTTCCTCTCGTCGGGCTCGGAGGCAAGGAGTGGGCAGGGAGGCAGGAGGGGAGGACATTCCACTTCAGCACTGGTCCCAGCTTGTACTGGGCTGAGCTGTTTCAGCAATACAGCTCCAAGAGGGATGAAAGCAAAGCCTGGGACCTGGGAGATCGCGTGGGTCTCGTTTTAAAGTTGCAGAAAGTTTTGCCTAAGTCATCTCCGCTCCTTGATGGTGGTTTGGGGGGCAAGAGGAGGTGCGGGGGCAGCGTGTGCTGGGGCTCAGCTGCCCGCACTGGCACTGCTGGTGTACGGCTGGGAGCCGGGCAGAGAAACACCTACTGCTCCCTCGGGGCAAAAAGTGGCTCTATGGGTGAATTAGTCACTCTGCTTCCAAACCACCCCACTGGATATATGGTATTAACGGGCCTCGTAGCCAAGGACGCCCACGGATGTTTGAGGCAGCAAGGTGAGGAGAAGCCAGCCATTGAAAGCCGTCCCGAGAGCCCAGGAAATAACACAGGCAGCTCCTGCAACTGGGGCTTCCCAGGCAGCACCGAGCTGGGGAGGGCAGGGGGAGGCAGAGCTGGCCGGGAAGGCAGGGCCCCCCCTCCCCATGCCCAGCAGCAGCGCCCCGGGGCCGCGGTGGCACCACTGGTGTCTGGGCTTTGGCCAAGGGGCTTCTCAGAACAGGGGGATGTTGCCTCGCGTGAGAAAATGGAGCAGCGCTTCCTAATAGTCCTCATATCCTAACAACGCCAACGCCTTTCATCCAGGAAAGTTCAAGACAAATCCAGGGCCAGTCTTCTTTAAGATTCAGAAATGTTTGGCTCTATCTTTCTTATTTTTTCTATTTTCAACGTGGCTGAAATAGCAGGAGGAAATCTTGTGTGGGCTTGTTCAAACTAAAAAGAAAAAAAGGAAAATTGCTATGCTAGACAGGCCCAGAGTCCACCTGCGCTGCTGGATGCATTAGGAGCCGTCCCCACTAGCTGCGAACTGCACTCAACTAGAATATGTTTTCATCAAAACGTCTGGGCTCAGTTTACTTTAGTCCGGACTGTCTGTCCAAATATACAGGCTCCACGTGAGCCAGGACTAAAAGCCTATTCTAAGCAAGCCTTAGATAACACAGCTTAACCACCACATCAAAGCCTGGAGGCAGGCCAAGCGGTGAAGTCATCGCACTTGCTTCTTTAACGCTGCAGCCGGCTAAACCCGCAGCCTCCGCACGCCGCACAGCCTGCGCCCCACCAGCCCACCACGGGCACCCCACAAGCACCCCACGAGCACCCCACGGAGCCCAGGCCCCGGTGCAGAGCCGGCAGCAGGCACAAGCTCCGGTGAGATTCCCCGTCCCTGGGGAGATGGAGCTGTATTTTTTCGGGCTGACAGCGTTCTCTCGAGCGCTTCGGCTTTTAAGGCCAGGCTCTCTTACCGCTGCCTGCCCCAGCCCCTTCCCTGCCTGCCCCAAGGGTCCCCCAGAGACACCCCCCCCCCCCCCCAAATCCCCAGTGCTGGCACACTGGGGAGCTGATAGGGACCGGGGGGGGGGGTTCGCTGCCATCCCTGGGAGGGCACTGAAACAACCAGCGCTTGCACAAAATGGCACAGACTGCAGTGATGGGGACGAGAAAAGGGACTGACAGAAACACTGCTTTCCCTCCAGTTTGGGGGGTTTTGAGGTGTTTTTTTTTTTTTTTTTTTTTTTTTTTTCTCCCCTGCTGCTGCAGGTGACCGGCCCCGCTCACTCGGGGGGGGGGGGGGGGGCGGACGATGCGCGCATCGCCGCCCCCTTCCCTCCCTCCTTCCCTTCCCTTCCTTCCCCCCGGTATTCTCCTGCCGCCGCGAGGCAGCTTTCAGCATCAGCATTTTTTATTTTATTTTTTTTTTTTCCTCTTTATTTGATCCCGTTTCTCCCCGCGCTCGACACGGCGGAGCCGCAGCCGGGAGCACCGCGGTAGGTACCGCGGGGGGCGTGGGGGTGGGGGTGGGTCTGAGCCCACCGGGCTGCCCACGCGTGCTCTGCCAGCCCCACGGATCCCCCCCAGGATGGATCCCGGCAGGATGGATCCCGGCAGAATGCTGGCACCCCCGAGGGGGCCAGGGCGAGGAGGTGGTGGGGGGCGGGCAGGTCCCTTCTCCAGGGACATCTTTGGGGTGTCAGGGGTGCTGGGTGCTGCTCCTCACCTGGCTTGGCCAAAAAGCCCCAAACCTGCCCGAGACTGCAGCCCACGGCCCCCGGGAGAGAGGAGGGGCTCAAAAACCCCGAGTGCCGGTTCAAATCACAATCTCAAAATTATGGCCAGTTAACTTAAAGCTTTGGGCAGACGCCCGGATCAGAATTTGAATTGGAATATAAAAATCATTAAATTGCAAAACACGATATTTGGACCATTCAAAAACAAACAAACAAAAAGAAAAAAAAAAAACAAAAACAAAAACAAACCAACCCCCCCCCCAAAAAAAAACAACAAACCAAAACAACAACAAAAACAAACAAACAAACAACAACAACAAAAAAATAGAAATTTTGCTGAAGTGACACAGCACTATAAAATGGATCGGTTCTGATGCAAAAAAAATATGTTTCCTTAAAAAATAAAAGTCCTTAGGCCTACTCTAGCCAGACACCTAAGTTCTACTGAAAAATATTATTTGACTTGCACAAAATTTTATAAGTTCAGATCTTACTAGAATTAATTATGAGTAGCCAACCTCTGCTCCCTCCAACCTTCTCCTGCCCGAAGGGGTAAGCACTGAGCATTGCCTCCTCCTCTTCCTCCTCCTCCGGTGCGGTGGCTCCTGGGCCGTTCCCGAGTCCCAGCAGCATTTGGGATGGGTGGTTTTGATGGGAGCAAGCAGGGAGGGGTCAGGATCCAGGCTGGGAAATGCTGGTGAGGGAGGTAAGAAGCAAATGAGTAAAAGCAGTGTTTGAACAAGACAAGATGGAAGAAAAGCGGGTTAAATCACTTTTGTATGATTTGCTGGGGGTGCCACCCCATTCCGTGCCCACGTCCTTTGTGCACCTGCACCCTGAGCTGGCTCAGCACCCCGCTTTGGGCACACCCCCCCTTGCCTTGCTCATGGGCTTCCCGGGGTGCTGCTGCCGTGTGGGTGGGACGTCAAAGGTCCCTCGGGGTCTCGTGCCCGAGCTGCCATCCCCAGTCCTGCCCATGGCTCAGAGGTACCAGCACCCCCCCAGCCCCGTCAGCACCCTCTGGATGGCTGCTGTGGCCATGCTGGGGGGGAGCATCACCTCAGACCCCCACTCCTGGGTTTACTCCCTGCACCTGAGCACCCCAGCATCGCCCCTGTCCCCACCGGCCCCTGGACCCGACGTGCTGCTAACGATGGTAACGGGGAGCCCAGGAACCTCTCGGCCCCTGCAGCAATCGCCCTGGGGGAGCGCACAAGATTTACGGGAAGATCTGCACAAACAGGGGTCTAAAGTTTAATTGGTTCTAAGGGCAAGGCCTGGGCTCGGTGGCGATAAGGCAGCACAATGTCCAATTGTTCTCCCTGCAACACCAGGTCGGCCCCGCTTCCTCCGGCCACTCTGAGCACTCAGGGTGCGCAGGAACGCGCCCCTTGGATTAGGGCTGGAGAGAGTTCGGGGCCACCGAGGTCTCCAGCCAGACCCAGAGCTCTGCAAGCCCTTTGGATAAACTTTCCTTCCCAGCTCCACCTCCGCCCAGGGGATAGACTTTCCCTCCCAAGCTCCCCAAATGACTTTGGCCTTCCTCCCACTCCTGAGACCTTGATCTTCCTCCCAGCCCAGGCAGCTCATCGTGCAGCTGGCTACGGCTCCTTCCACTCTATTCCCCGTCAGCTGCATGGCTCAGCTCCTGCCCGCTGCTCCTCCAGCTGAAGCCCTGCAGTGCCCCGGACCCCTGTCAGCTCTGGGCCTCCCTGCATCTGCTTTATCGGGATTTTTAAATGGCCCAAACAAGCCCAGAGGCTCAGGGAGGTGGCAGAGGAGCGCTGGGGACGCGTGGCCCCAGGGAGCAGCGGGGGCTCGGCCTAGCAGAGCACCTGTGCCCACCCACCCGGGGTAATTAGAGCTTGAAGCAATTTGTCTTTATATCTGGCATCTTTGGTTTGGCTTAGATAGCAGTTAGCAGCTCAGAGCATGGTTGTAATGAGGAGGTAGGGCTAAGTCACAAGGCCCATAAGGATAATAGCCACGGCGGTTTTATTTCAGTCTGTTTCCTCTTGTTTCAATATGCTTCCAAGGATGCACTCATAGAAAAGACCAAAACCAGAATTTCAAGCACCTTCTTAAATATTTGTTTTCTCCTCTGACGTCATGTCAGAAATTAAAAACAAAACAGAACTTAGCACTTAGGAAGGACCTTTCCCGCTCCTCTGCACTCCCAGCTTCTCCTCCCCACTGGGGCCTTGTCCGCCTGTTCCAGGGAAGATTCCCCGGGTCATTTTGGAAGCACCACTGCCCCTTCCCTGCGGAGATCAGCCTCCTTTCAACTGGGTGCAGTTTTCACCAGCTCCGAGGTGCTGGATGTGGCCCTTAATTAGCGCAGGAACCCAACCAAACCGCAAATGCTTCCATCCATTTCTCAGCCAGCCCGTATTTGTGTAAGCCACAGTCTGGGGGAGGAGGCACCGAGAAGGACTTTTAAGAAACAACAATCCTGAACCACAAGCACACGCATTTCAACAGGAAATAAGCCTAGCTTTCAGGTACTAATTAGAGAAAGAAAGTTGCAACTTTTCAGTGAGGAAGCATCACTGATTTTTATGTTAATGGTGCAATAATTGCTAGCTGGTGATAGAGTCTCGCGCTGCCTGTGGACCCCGGGCTGGCCATGGGAGGTTCGGGCTTTTCAGGGCTGGTCCGCTCTCAGGATGCCCAGGAGCACCCTCAAGATGAGATTTGCTGTGGGTGCCGCTCGCGAGGGTGCGGGGGTGGCCGTGCGCACCCCTCATTTTTGCAAGGTGATTTCCCTCTGCATCCCCTGCAGTAGAACCCCTCGCCCGCACTGCACCACCCTCCCCTCGGCTCTGCACACCCACGGGGACAGAGGGTTATTTCTTACTCACTTTGTCCGGCACTGGCCAGTCCTGGCTCTTCCCTCTGAGTCTTTTTTTGTCTGCAAATATTTGCCTCAATTTGCCAAACGTGCTAGGATTGCGCAGGGCCGGCGGGTGCTGGGGGATTTTCTTCCACACAGGACAGAAACCATTTTCTAGTGGTTGTTTGCTGTGGGAAGCAGCTGCGTAGCTCTCTGGGGCGAGGAGTGGTGTTTGCTGCCTGTCTGGCCAGAGCCAGTGCAGCCGGCAGCGGCATCCCGCCGAGCCCTGGCTCTTGGGTTCAGGCTTTCAGGCACTTGGGCAAAGGCTTTGAAGATGGGTGTGTGCCTGAGGTGCTGCACACATCTGGGGGGCAGCTGGAACGTCTCATGTCCCATATCCTTCAGGCTCCAACCAAAACCATTGCCAGGTGCCAGTTACAATTTGGCAACGTGCTCGGTGACGTATGAGAGACCCTCTCGGGACCAGACACCCCAGTCCCTGTGAGCTGGAGATGCAGGTCCCACTGGGACACCAGGCACCCCTGCAACTGGGTGACCCCCCAGCTCTCCGAGCAAACATCTGACGATGCTTTAGGCGCAGGAGGAGGGGTGAAGAGACACCTTCTCCACCACCCACAGCTTCAAAGCGAACTGCAAGCACCCCCTTAACAGACAGAGAAACTATGCTTGTGGTTGTTTTTTTTTTTTTTTTTTTCCCTTAACAGAACAGTGGATTTGTACCACCAGTACAATCCAGCTAGCCTTTTCTAAGCCCAAATCTCTCTGGCCCTCACAGGCTCGCTGGACTTGCCACTTCCCAGTGTCACCTACATGTGCAAACCTCTGTGGCACTTGGGGTGCCACCGCTGGCCGAGCCCGGGGCACGCATCCAGCGAGGGGACAGTCGTATCACCCCCTCTGGGGGCACAACGCGTGTGATTGCACCCACATCCCTGCAGGCTGCTGCAGGGCTGGGGCCAGGAGGGTGGAGGGGGGTGCTGAGGAAATAAATGCCCTTGCAGGCATATTAGAGAAACTCCTATTAGCTTTTGGCTTCTGCTTAGCAGGAAATAAGATTATCAAACGAGAGCTGGTGCCTCTGGGAGCCTGGCGGTGTTGCAGGGTGCAGTCCATCACGAGGGGCTGTGGGAGCGGGGTGGGTGGCTGGCCATGCCCTGACCCCTGGCAGCCCTGGAGGTCCCGGGGCATCTCCCATCGGAGTGGGGGTGTCAGCCTCGCCCTGCATTGTTCAACCACCCGTTTGGGGTAATTGCAGAGTGACCTCTGAAAATACAGCTGGGTCTGCCTTCATCAAGCGTCTCAACTGCTGGAGCAGCACCATCCCCTCCAGAACCACAGGAACACTAAGTACGTTCGCCCATTGCATTAAACAACTCCCCTTTTAATCATCCTTAATTTCACAACCCCCAAAATCACAGGAGTTGAGATGAGATGAATGTAGTCCTTTCTCAATGAGGGTTCAGAAATAAGAGGTTGCAGGGAACGGTGGAGAGAGATGAGTGATAACAGCAGGTCAAACCAAACCTATCACCAGCAACAGATGAATTCCCCGAAGACAAAGCCCGGCCACCTCTGGGATCCCTCTGACCACAGCCTGTCCCAGTGCAGGCTCAGCTCACAGGGAGAGTCGAGACCACCAGGAATTTACAACCGGAGTGGACCTGTGGGAAGCCTTTTCCACCTTCCACAAGCAGAAATCCAATGCGAGGAGCGGCGGGCATGGCCCCGAGCACAGGCAGAGCTGCAGCCGGGAGGTTCAGCCTTTTCCACAAGACAGTCCCTGACCTGAACTTCCTACGAACCGGCTGCCTCCAGAAACACGCTGCAAAACGACGTGTGCTGGGGTGTATTTGTCCGTGTGACTGAGAGACCACAACCAGAGCCTTGAGACACACGTTAGCATGTG